ACGGCGCGTACGGTGGGTCGTAGCCGTATGATCCAGTATCGCTGTCGAGTATAGCTGCGCCCTCTGCCGGGTCACAAGGTCTAGGCCCAGAGCACCAGCCACAGGAGACCTGCCACGCGCCCGCCTCGATCCATTCCACCGCCCCTTCACGAACTGCGGGGTAGACTACTTCGGGCCCATTACTGTAAAAGTGGGACGCCGCCGAGAGAAAAGGTGGGGCGCACTATTTACCTGCCTCACCACACGAGCCGTTCACCTCGAGCTTGTCGCTTCTCTCTCTACGGATTCGGCACTAATGGCGTTGAGACGAATGGCAGCACGCCGCGGATGGCCGCGACTGATGTACTCAGACAACGCAACCAACTTCCGCGGCGCCGATCAAGAACTGAAAGCCGCATACGCCGAATGGGCACCCGCCCTAAGAGACGAAGGACTGACCCGGCGTATGGAATGGCGCTACATAGCACCTGGCGCCCCGAACCAAGGAGGCGCATGGGAACGCATGGTGCGCTCTGTCAAGACAGCGCTACAAGCAACGCTTCGAGAAAAGGCACCATCAGACGAAGTGCTAAGAACCCTCCTGACCGAAGCCGAATATTCGATCAATGCTCGGCCCCTAACGCACGTGAGTGTGGACCCTCGCGACCCCGAGGCCCTCACGCCGAACCATTTTTTGCTGGGATCTTCAACGGGTCTACCGAGAACAGGACCCTGTGACGAAGCCGACAGACGAACCTGGCGTACTAGCCAAGCACTCGCAGACCAATTCTGGAGACGCTGGGTACGGGAGTACTTGCCGACCCTAGTACCGCGAGGAGAACCAGCTAGAAAGAATGACACGTCAAAACTACAAGCCGGCGACATAGTGGTTGTCGTCGACAGCACGCTACCGAGGAACGTATGGCCAATGGGAAGGGTAGAACGTACGTACCCTGGGCCTGACGGCAGCGTACGAGTCGCCGATGTCAGAACGAAGACCGGCGTCTTCAAAAGGCCAACATCGAAGCTCGTCGTCCTACTAAAGGAAGAGGAGGCTACGCAAAGCTGCGCCGGGGGGAGAGATGTTGCGGACACCGAGCTACATAATCCGCGCCGACCGCCTACTCGCCAACCACTGTACTAGATGAGAGAATTCCCCGCGCCCCGCACTCCGCGCCGACCGCCTACTCGCCAACCACTGTACTAGATAAGAGAGTGAAATTGGTATTTAAGTAGGAACATTTTTGGTAATAAACACGGATTGAATCCACTTTAATCAAGAGTTTTCATTTGCGATCCAGATCAAGAACCTGAACAATACAGTCCACCGAACAAGAGCTAGAACACCAACACTTGTGTTACTTAATTTTCTCACTTCTCCTCTGTACAGTCACTTAAACACAATAATTTAAATTTTTATTGAATTGATATTCAATTATTTTTGTGAAATTACTGCACTAGTTTGTTATAATTATTAATACAAAGATCGAACAATCAGAAAAAATTCCTTCGATCCGGCCGGATTCGAACCGTCTTCTAGCATACCGTGGCAGACGCTATACCAACTAAGCCACGGAACGAACCAGCGAATCTCACGAATTTTTTTATGTGCTTGTTGTCGTGTCTTTGTATTAGGTTTTTTCAACGACTTTTTAGTTGCGTAACATACATACAAAAAATACAGTCGAATTGAGAACCTCTTCCTTTTTTTGAAGTCGGTTGGTAAAAAATGAACTATTTTTGTTTAGGCGACTGTTGTTAAAAGCAGTGATATTATAAAAAATAATTATCTTGGTAATTCTATTATTAATTAATAATAAATTGAACTTAATAAAAATTCATTGAATAAAATAATTTGTAAAACTTAATGTAGCGTAAATTGGAATGTTTTCTTTGTAAAATTAAAAATAAGGTATTTAATTAATAACTATTGTAACTATAGTGAAAAAATAGGGTGGTTTGCATCAACATTAGACATAACTAGTTGAAGACTGTACCACCTCAGTCAACCGTGCCCATGGGACCTGTAAAGGGCCCGAAACGTCGGTTTGATCGAAAAAACAAATATACGCGATTTAAATCCGGAAAAATAGTTTCATTTCCTAAATGTACGTAATTTAAAAATTAAAATCATAGGTACATGCTGCCTCAGGAATTCAAACCGTTGACCTCTCAATTAAAAAGTAATCGTTCTCCCGCTAAGTGGCTTACAATAATAATAACAATACTCATAGCCCCGCACTAGGGAAACCCTATATCGCGGGTGCCATGGACACACACATAGACAACCACAAATTACACCCAAATTCGCGAGAAAAAGAAATGTAAGCCATACAATCGAACCCTAGCCCTCTGCGTGGTAGACCAGCGTGGTTTGACCACGGAGGTATTAAAGGTATTAATAATACAATAAAGAGTATGAGATTTGTCTGAGACATACAATATGCTACGGTGAAGAGAAAGTGTAATTTTAGTTTAGTATGAACGATATTTAGAGGATGACGTAGATTGTTGTGATTGACACTATTTTGCGACACTATTGATTTCTCCTTCTGACAACACGAAAGTGGATGTCAATTTATCAATACTAGCAACACCGTTCACTTAATCCTAAAATAATTATCTCTGAATTTATTTTCGTTACAGAATGTCAATTCGGGAAACAAGCGAAGGAGCTCGGCTCCACGTGGTTCGCAGACCTGGGCCCGCCCTTCGGCGTTATGTACTGCATCAAATGTGAGTGTATGCCGGTAAGTATTTATTGAACACCACTTCATAATCTGTTATTAAATCGCTATAGTGGTACGAACTTTAATTCGATTCTGAAAAATAAATTGCGGTAATCTATTTAAATAATGTCTGTTTTTTCTATTGGGACAATATGGGCAAAATCTGAAACCATAGAACATCCAGAGAACTTATCTTAGGAACCATTAAGTATTTTTTGTGAAATAAGTTTGGCGTTGTTAATTTTTTGGTTAAGTGTGAGTTGTCCGTAAAAATTAATAAAATTGATACATTTTTTTTACTACTTATCGATTCAGTTTTATTATTATTTTTTATAATGTCCTTGTACTGGAAGAAAAATCGGGATAGCAGAAGTTGGTAAAAAATTATTTAACTAAAATAAATCTAATCATTTTTTTAAATTAGAAAAGTTAAAGGTAATTAATGTAATATTAATAATAAATACTCACGAGAAACATCTGTATAAATATATTTACCCCTAAGTAATATTTACCAGGTTGAGTAAAAGAATAAAGATGTCATCTATGACCAGCTCTAGACAAAGAAATTAATATTAATACAATATATTCAAGACTATCTTACCAAACTATTAATTAATCTAATTTCCCCTATTAAATTTAATGTTGGCGGGTCTGCTATATTAGATGATATTAATAAAAATCATCACATTTTTATTAATGTATACAATTTAATATAGGTACCCTTGTTTTTATAATTTTTATTTTATTATATTCTTTATTGTAATTATAATTCTTTATTATAATTTTTTTTCAATAATGTTTGGTTGGTTGGGAAAAAATAATATTATATATAGGAGCAATTCACGGGTGGATGGACGTACAGCAAAACTAGTAATCCTAGAAACATGAAAAGTGAATGGTATGTTACTTTATTTACCGTAGGCTTAGTAAGAACGGATTTTTCGTAATTAAGCCCCTAAAAAGAGGACGAAAAAGGGCAAAACTCTGTATTAAAAATCGTATTCCTTGAAACTACAAAGATGAAAGTTTGCACAAATGATCTACCATAAAAATGGTAAAATATGACATTTTTTAACGCGGCGTGAGATATGCACTAAAATTGGTTTGGATGCTATTAAATAAAAAATAAATAAATACGTGTTATAATTTCATAATTATAACACGTATTTATTATTAAATCTATTTCTATCTATCTTTATTAAGTCCTTCGGTCCGATTTGTTTCTGAGTGTTCGATCTTTGTATTAATAATCATAACAAACTAGTGGAGTAATTTCACATGAAAAATAATCGAATATGAATTCAATATAAATTTAAATGAATACGTGTTTCAGGGTTTTTCAAAACAACCCCTAAATAGGGGTCAGTTATGGTATAGAAGTGTCTTTAAAATACCTCTTCTTTTATAGAAGATCATGTTAGTTACATTTGGAAACTAGAATATTTTTCATTTGTATTTTAGTAGTACATAATGTGTGTAAAAATTGTATGCGGACGAAGTCGTGGGCAACAGCTAGTAGATAGATACATATATTTGGAGTTCGTAGGTATTCGCGATTGTCACAAATTGAAAAAGAAACTACTGTTGATGACGTGACCATTGGTATGTTTGAAATAACAATTTTCTTTATGATACCAAGTATCTGCACAAACAACGTCGTACATCTGGTGGTAAGCGTCACGCCTGTCTCTAACAGTTGCCATGTCGCTCAGAGCTTAAACCACAAAGATCTGATGGGTACTGCCTTTGCACCCGTTATCCTGAGCCATAAGTTCAAAGTCCCACATGCCTGTAATTTGGGTTTGGGTAAAATCCCGGTTAAAACCCGGGTGGATTGATTGGGTTTTAACCCACTGCCCATATTTGATTATAACAGAATGCATCATTATTGTTACTATTTGTAGCTCTAGTGACTTTCGAAACGTAAGAATTCATTACCTAATGGATATACATGAAGTGGAAAGCTAACTCACACTTATCATTTAAGATATGCGGTTTTGTTGCAAGTTAGTGGCAAGGTCTCCGTCTACCACCTGCTACAGCTGCAGGTGTGCTTTAATATTTCAATGGTGATAATTTATAATACCTCTGTGTTTATCTAATATGCAAGTCTTTGTATAATGTACGACATGTATAACTAGATTGACGCTTCCGAAGACGAAAACAACAACGACAGAAACCTATGATACATTACGGCCATAGAGGAGATATAAAACTATTGACAAATAGTTAAAAATAATAACGTACGCGGTAGCTATAACTAAATTCTATTTGATAGAAGCAATATTTTTATTTTGTACGGTTTTTTAAATACGAGAATATTTTGTGAATTTGCCATAAAAATGTTGTTTTTTTAATTCGTCACTTTATTAATGGAATTCGTCCAGGGAAGTACTGCCACCTTACCTATTTCTGCCGTCAAGCAGTCAGACAGCCAGTCAGTATACTGCGTTCCGGTTTTGAAGGGTAAGGATGCTAGTGAAATTACAGGCAGATCTTTGCAATTTTTAAGCTCTTAGTGGCAATACAACTGTTATGTACTGGCGTGTAGCTTACTTGTTGGTACCGACATTTAATATTATAAAAAAAATACAGGGTGCGAAAGGTATATGTACAATACTTTATATTAAAGTTGCAATGAATAATCGGTATTCGGTTTGTTTTTTGCTATACGGTCGAATGCTGAATCAAAATTTTACCGAACACCAAATACCTGAAAACGAGAGGAAGTGTTAAGAAAAAATACACTAAATTATCACCGAATTTTTATTAATACTGTATGTACACTTAAGCTCGAAAGCGCAATTCTTCGCTTCTTTATCTAAAATTTATTTATTTATTAGGTGTACAAAACAGTTTACATTCACTCTTTAACAAAAGTTTAAACATTATTGCTGGTTCCAGTCTAGAATGTAAACCTAAACATGTCCATGCAGCATTGGTCTTGCGTAAACAATTTTGTTACAATATATTAATAAAACGTACTTAGGCATAATAAAGCTGTAACCTTAAATATTATACAATTAATTTACTATGAGTTACTATGACTATAACTATGAAAGAGGGAAACTGTGGTGCTCGTAGATTCGATTGCGAAGTCATTCAAAATTACAATCAAATACATCCATCTCCAAATAAATGCCAGGATCGGCCATAAGGTCAGAGTAAGGCAGACACATTCTCGTCAAAGGGTAGTAAAAAGAAGTATTATTAGAATACACATTCAATACAAATGATCTAGGAAGGGGTCGTGGACTGCACTTGATGTTAAAGTTAATATAGGACAGAAGCGTCGAGAATTTAAGAATGCAAAATATCAAAGGAAAAGTAACATTAACTAAATTATTTTTCTAGGAGATAAAAAAAACGTAACATCTACAAGAAAGTTACATAATTATATAGATACTTATTATATAGTTTACTTATACTAAATAAACGCTACCAAAATCAACTAAGTACTTATTATTCGCAAAAAAACACATATTTTTCGAAAGTTAATCAAACTGAAGCGTAATAAACAATTACTTTCTTCATTGACTCATAAATGTAAATTCACTTCGAAATAAAGGTGTCGTTTTTGTTTAATTGTATCAAATTATTGATTACTGAAGTTAATAAATGGGATTTTTCTTGCCAATTTTCATACGAGCGTTAATCAGGATATCAAAATGACGGGACGAACAAGTGGTGTGCCTAGTATTAAGGGATATGCCTGTCCAAAGCAGTTGCAGTGCCACTCAGAGATTTAAATCGCATAGATCTCAGGAATACTGTGACTGTGCCAGTCTCTCTGAGACATAATTTGAGAAGCCCCATGTGCCAGTAATTTCACCAACAGCCTTCACCTTCAAAACTGCTTGACGGCAGAATTAGGCAAGGTGGCAGTAATTCCTTGACGATCTCTTTCCCAAGGAGCTCTACTGCTACTATTCCACGCTTCTGGCTGCTTATTCTGTATTCGGCTAGAGGCCGTTTGTTTTTTCGTTTTCTTCGTAATTCGTTGTTCGTAATTCGTTGTAACACTACTTATTACAATTCTTATTTAACAATCATGATAATGGTACGAAGTGCCTACATTGGTACTAACCTTCACCCGTTTCTATTTTTATTAACCCAGAATATATATAGAATATAGAATGTCTACGCACTGGGGTTACTGATAAAGTCCATATATGAACAGGGGCACAGGTCGGGTTAAGTGTGGTGACTCCTTTACAGTCAAGAGGACATCTGATCTTTGGACTGTTCTTATCGTGTGAGGCATAGAGGTGAATTTAAATCTTAACTTGATCTTGACTTTGTACATTATTGCAATGTTTATTTTTTTATATCATAATGTTTTTATGACCATGACGTTCATATTTTTGTAAAACACTCCACTAGTTTGTTGTTATTACTGATATAAAGGGTGATCGATTCGAAAACGTATGTTCGATATAAAGAAATATTTCTACAATCCGGCCGGACTATGGATGGCTCTCCTAACTGAGCTACGGAACGAGTCAGCAGACCTTACGAATTTCTCTACGTGCTTGCTGCAGATCTTTGTTTTTGGTTTTTAATGACTTTTTGCCGTTGCGCCATCTGTGAAAAATGTATAAAAGTTTTTCTTCACTGAATCAGGTACCTTTACAGGTACCAGTGCTGACTAGAGATGCAGCTTTAATAAATGTAATATGAAGTTCATTGAATTGACTATGACAATGTTTTACTACCTTTTAATTATGGTAGTAAAAGAGGTAATGTACAGACACATTAATGTTTCAAAGACCTGAATTTCGACATCAAATTTGGTATTATCAGTTGAAAAAATAGTAATTAAATTCTGGAAGTGAGCAAGGGGCTCAATCGACCTTTTCAATCTATAACTATAATAATAACAATAGTTATATTCCTAAAGTTAACAAATTAATGGAAATTAAAATAATTTCAATTTAATATGATTACAACAAGGTTACAGCTACGGTTTCTCCCGCCAGGTGCAAAAGAAGCGACGGGTGGTGGCAAAAGTCCATTGCCGGAACATCAAGAACGAGTGTCCCGAACCCTCTTGCGACAACCCTGTGCTCATGCCTGGACGATGCTGCAAGATGTGCCCTGGGGATACCAGCTGTAAGTATCTGCAAGTTTCAATGCACATTAACACTTAAAAAGACAGATACACGATAGCGAACACTCTTTTGCGCACATTCACAAACGAGCAATCGCCGGCGAGTGACAAATCCTGGTCGTTTTCGAGCATAACCTGGAGCATTCGATGACAAACTTGGTGCATTTCATTATACATCGTGTCTTGTTCATATACGATGGTTTATAAGTGATCATTATGATTCCCTATCATTACAAAGAGATTTAATATCAGTTTCGTCAATGACGAGCGTTTTGAGTGCATGTTTCCGAGGACATTTCCGCGAACTGAATGCACATTGCTCGTTGCGACATCCACATTGACAAGATTGTGCCCACTTGCGAACTTTATAATTCTCCGCCTACTGTATACACTCAACAAATTTTCGATGTCGAATGCTTATTATATGCAATTCCTCTAGTTGAGGATATTCCTGAAGCACTTCGGTAAATTTTGAGATAACAGCTCTGTTGTACAAAAAAAAGGAGGGGGGATTTTAGCAACTTATAACATAACGATAAACATTTGATATTGCAACTTCGATACGCGCGTAAACAACATCATATTTATAGAGTTCTTAGGTTTTTACAGTCGATATACCTAAGAAACGAAACTATTTTATGGATCTAAATTGCGCGTTTTTTAAATAAACCAGCTCTTCGAGCGCTTTGCAGGTCCTGTGGTCACGGTGGACTTTAACCTTAACGTGACCATGGAACAAGCAAACAGAAAAAACAAGTATATGCGATTTGGATCCTAAAAAATAGTTTCATTTGCAGCCAAGCAAAGAAAAAAACAAATATATCGGGAAAAATAGTATTCAACATCATACTTATTATATTCGGCGTCTATTTTCAGTGCTCGTGTCTCAAACTGATTATACGCATAATCTTGTTAGCTTTATTGAAGAATACTATATTTATAGGACAGCAGCTTTGAAATGCAGCATTATCGTAAAGAAACTTACAATGAGTATAAACAGGTGTAGTATTATTCCTTTATCATTATATCTTGAATGTCTCACTGATTGCTGCGAATAATGAAAAATTATATTTAATGTGCGAACTCCGGTGCACGTCGTTAGCGGCAGCCTCTTGTTGTATTTAGTTGCTAGTCAACTCCTTTAATGGGTCGTAGTCAACGTACCTAATTAAAACAACATTCACACGGGATTCTTTTACTTATCTAGAAAGTTCCCCGTAGATAATTAGGCGCATATTCTGTAGGTTTTTCCTAAAACATATGTGTATTTGCTATAATTGTAGATTAAGATCAGTTAGTTTAATTAATTCGGATTTTGTCTTTTGTTGTACCCTTACAGGGTCCATAACGACCTTAATTTATGTTATCTACCACCGTGTATTATGTTATGCAATAAAGTATGAGTAAGATATGTCGTGGACTACCCTAAAGAAAGAAAAGTTGTTAAATTATTTATGCTATTCAGAGTTTAATTTATTCAGATTTTGTATTTTGCTGTGCCCTAACAGAGTCCATAATGACCTTAACTTATGTTACCTACCACTTTGTACAAAACATTATGGTATGCAATAAAGTATTGATTCAGATATATTGTGAACTACCCTGTGGAAAGAAAACTTTTTAAGTTATTATGTGCAATTTAGAGGTGACATTTTTTGTAACAATAACTTGAGAATAGCCGCTTATCTGACAAAATTATTAATGTGCATCTAATTGGGCGCGTAGTCTGCAGGTGTACCTTGTTTACACTAGTCGATCGTAAATATGATAATGAAATAAGAGATAAAGTGCGGTGATCACTGTCAGCGATTTCGCTCCTGTCTTCGTTAATATCTTGTTTCGTGTCCATTATCGCGCGATCGCCGACACGACTTGCGTAATCTCATCCACCCCAACCCGTATAACGACGAAACGTAACCTTCGATATAATTCCCCAAATAAATGATGTCATCATAATTTTTATACATCTAATCTAACTGATGTCATATCTCTTGCGACGTGACATTTGATAGTGTTTCATAAACGGTTTATTATCCATAATTTGTTGACCAAACACGCAGTTTCATTCAGCAACACACTATTTAGGTTTCTTATGTATTTTTTAATAATACTTGGCGACTAATGATTGCGGTCGTCTCGATTACATTGGAAACAAATAACGTCCGCAACAGGTTAGTGACTCACGGGCCATCTGCCGCGAAAACTATCAACCATGTGGAAGTTGAGTGAACGACATACTGCTTTATAGACACCGAACGTACATATGTTCTCTTTGATGATCGCCATTAATACGCCGTTTTCTGATGACCCGTCTCGCTTGTGTAACATGACACTACTCTAGCTGAGGAGAATAATTTACTCTATACAGACACAAACGCAACATTAAATAAATTATGACAAGTATTTTCTATATATGTAAATTTACTAACAAGTATGACATTCTATTATAATTAATGCAAGCAATGGTTTATACCTATTTTAGTTGTAATAAGGTCATTGATACGAGGCATAATGTATAGTCGCATAAATGTTTCGTTAGTGCCTGTAGGCATTCTTAATGACTTTAGCCATCATTCCTTGGAGCCTTTTTTGTGGAATCGGCAAATTTGTCCACTATAAAAGGTAATTGCGGAATGTAAGAAAGTATGCGTTTGCGCTGTGACAGGAACTCGCGATGACAAATGACAGTCGACTGTCGAGCGGCAGCGGCGGCTCCCACGGCGACACTCTCCCATCAATATACAGTACACTACAGTAGCCTTACCGTACTTACGGAACCGTACCGGGTCGTTGGGGCTTGTCGTCCAATAAAATTTTATAATAATTATTTAAATTTTGATATTGCAAGGGAAACGTGTTTATAAAATTATAAAATTTGATTATACACTTTCGGCAAATTAAGGCGTCGTGGGATTGGTGTGGTGGCAGCGGCGATGCCGACGATGCGTCTGGTCGCGGCTCGCGTTCGTCAGCAGGCCTATATCGAGAGCATTACAATGGCATTACTCAGATGCACTGGGCGGTGGTGCAGAAATGGCACGCGCTGGTGCGCCCCCCTGCGCCCGCGTCGCTGCTGCAAATAGCTGCTGCTGCTGGTTATTCCGGGCGCGGCCGTCGACCCGCCGCCGCGACGCCGTCTGCGCGCCTTTTTAGCGGACACTTCTTACAATACACGCATTTTTTGCGAACAAATATCGAGGATGTCAACGTACCCCAAGTATTTCTTTATTTCTAAGGAATTTTCATAAGGATGACGGAAACAACAGACATAATCGCAAACGCAGAACAGGCTTCAAAACGTATTTCATTTGAAACATTTCGTTTTGTACTAATATATACTTACTCAACTTACTTTTTATTTAGGTATTTACATATAAATATAAACAGAGATTAATGTTATTGCCAAGAGTTTTTATTCGTAGTCGTAAAACAATTATATAAATTCACTTACATAACTTTATGAACGATACAATATGTGTGGATTTATAGCCACACAAGATTGAAACTTTCAGTTAAAGATTAGAAAATTTATAATAACTTGTAATTAACTTCGAAGTCGTGATACGTAAACTGATAAATCCCTTCTAATAATAGCACAATAATGAACAAATTACCTCAATTGTTAACTATGTCACGAGTATTATTGAGTGCTTTAACCAATGGTAACATACAATAGCTACTATCAGGGGTTTTAACAAATTTTAGAACAGTAAATGATAAACAATAGTTACATATACCAGATTGTAAGTTGTTGAGCTCGTGCGGTGTTCATGATTGATCGGGGATCACATCGGACCAGTCGATCACGAGTGTATCTAATTCAGTGTGCTGCAAGCTGCATGTGCGTTCGAGGAATTTGTTTTGTGCACGCCGATGCCCGACGCCGTACAATCGCAGTTTTATTTTTGCGAGATCAGTGTCTCTGCTTCGCAACGCATTCCTCCCTGCATAATTTTGTTTGCGCCTTTTCACACTTCTTTTTGCGGACGAGATGTTTTGATGTCGAGAGGAAAAAGACAGCTTGATATGTCTGGCCGTTCACGTCGTAGTTTCTACACATATGACGATCGACGCGGCGGTATTCCATGTGATCGTACTCGTATTATATCGCATCTAGTGCAACATTTAATGGGTTGAATAGGGGAGCAGCCGCAAGAGTACTTGTTATTACTTTAATGTCGGCTAATGAGCAGCATTAGGTGAATGCGGTTAGTGGGCAAGCCTATCGTGAGTAATAGTGGCATGGTTTGTGGTGCGGACGGAGCGTGACTTGCCTCCGCAGACTTAGCAGCTGACCCTCACTGGCGCCGACCGTTTTTGATTTACTTCCAACATTAAATCTTTCGGGTAATCCAGATCGGTTATATATTTTAGAGGTATTTATTGAGGGCAGTTCACGACACAAATCGAATGCCCGAAGCGCAAGTCCCCGCTGGATATAGTTAATTTGCTGGAAACTTTACGAGCGACCTCAACTTTAACGGTCGAGCGGCCACTGCCTGATAAATCCGTAAATGGGCGCTCCCATTTTTATTGTTTACAGCAGCAATAAGTCAATGCATATGAGAATACATCAATCGCAGTCATATAACACTAATAAAGGAAAGGATCACGGATCTATAGGTTTATTTATAAAATAGTAACAACCTCGTAGGACTATATTACTTAGGTGCCTACATCATAAACAACACAAATGTTATTCCACGACTTGTAATAATTAATCAATTTTACTTTCATAAAAAAGTTTAAATATTTAAATATAACGCTGTCAACGATGAAAACTCTGTGATAACAACAGAAAGCGCAAGGGTAAATACCATGTGCGATGCAAAACGCTAAAGCGGGGGTGGATAGACGTTTGCACGTTTTAATTTACTACTGTAGCAAGATACAACGTGCAACCGTTTAGTACAGTAGTTACTACTATCAAATATAGACCTAAAAAGTATCAAATAGGACAATAAAATCATAAAAAGTTTATTTTTGGTAAATCTAAATTGTT